GAAAGTTCCTAAGGACTAGAAACTTGAAATGGTTTTTCAAAGGAGCACCTTCCGCATTACCATATCTATGCTGATAGGGAAGCACTGGAAGAGGGACCTTGGGACAAGATGCAACGGCTTTTAAATTCCCCTCTTCCCTAACAAACATGCCCAAAGGCTAAGGTTCCAAGCCAAGTGAAAAGCGTCAGTAGAAGCGTTCTGGGAACAGCTCGCTGATGCTGGAGCATCATGAGACTGCTTGAAACACAACACTGGCTTCAGAGGCTTCACGCCTATGCGCACTGCTGGAAATTAGATCTGTGTGATCCTGTGCTAGATCCCTGAAGGGGCAGAGGAACAGAAAGGGAGGCAGAGCCAGCTTTGGCAAGGTGCAAGGAGTCTGCCTTTTTTAAGGCTGTCTTTCTGAGTTAGGTTCCAAGTTTTTGATGGGTGTTCTTGTTGCAATTTACGGCAAAGGAAGTGCCTCTGGGAACGTTCAGAAAGCTGGTGGATCTGCCTAGTTTCTGAGTGATCAAACACATACCCAACCCTTGGAGTCAGACTGGAAGGGAGCAATCTGCATGGAGATGGCACAGGTTATCGGCCCTTGCCAACAGAGTGTCAATGAGTGTCATCTGTGGATGATGGGAGTTGTACTTCAACCCATCCAGAGAGGCTGGGTTGGATTATCCTACTGGAGGAGCCAGGCAAGGCCAGTTAGAACAGCAGAAAGGAGCACAAAGGCGGTGGTCCTGTTTCTTTTATCAAATGCTGCTGGTGGTAAAGAGACATGTTTGTTCCCGCAGAATTAGCAGAAGCTCATATGAAGTGCCAGGTTTGTCCGTCATGCAAGCTGAGATTTAAACTTGTCTTTTTTTTTTCTTTTTGCTGCTACTTGATACTGTTTTTCATTAGTTAATTAAAATTTAGCAAAATGCAAAATACAGACAAAACATCAAGATACACTAACCAACAACATTACACAGAACAATCCTTAAAGTTAAAAAAAAAACCATCATGCCAGAAAAAGAAAAAAGAAGGAAAAAGACCCGAACAAACTAAAAAAATATTCTACCTTATTATCATCACCGGTTTACTAATAAATACAATGTAGTACTAGTATAATCAAATACAAAATATTATTGTAAAATGTCGTAACATCTCTGCCAAAGTTGTACATATTGCTTTATCTTTTGATTAGTGCAGAATATTACTGTTCCAGAATGGTTAAGCTACCCATTTCCAAAAAGCCATTTCTTTTTTTTTTTAATAATTTTATTGAAGTTTTTAGTAAACATAGTAAAGAAATGGGTTCCAATCTTCATCACACCAAGTATAAACTAATAACTTTTCACCCTCTTTTAAAACTACAAATTAAAACAAAAAACAAAACCTCTTCTTCCCATAGCCTAATTTTTATCTATGTGCAATCCACAAATTGTCATCTTTTCAGTCCTGGTTCAGCAAAAAGTCCATTAGGAGTTATCAGAAATATCAAACCAATAGTTTATCCCTGGTCAAATAGTCCAATGTTATATTCCTTCTTTTTCCTCTGTACAATCTTGACTTTTAAATCATTCCAATGGCATTGCAGGATTTGATCTTTCATCAATCTTTGGCATTCCAGTGGCGTCTTCAAAGCTTTCACCAGCCTACTTTGTAAATCCATAAAGAGGCATCATCCAGGATTTCTTGTTGCAGCTGTTCCATGTCCAGATCTTTTTCTTGATTTGCTTTTTGTATTCCCATTTTGATAATCTCAATTTTGTTGCCTTCTATGCCTTCAAGTTCTATAATGTCTATGTCAGGTAAGAGTTGTTTTTTTAAATTTTTCTCATCATCTTCTAAAAGTTTAACCACTGAAATCTGTATCATTTCTGAGATATTCATTATTAATATCTCAATCCATTTTTCAAAGGATTCTTTGAGACAAGTAAAAGTTATAGCCGGCTTAGCCATTTTAACTCTTTTCTGCCTGGTCCTTTCGTTCCCTCGAGTGCCCATTTGCAATCTTTATCAAGCCTCAGTTCTTAATATGAGTTTAGTTTCATTTCAGTTGTTTCCCACGGGTATATTATTTAACGACATACTTGTTTTTCAACTCTTACAGTAAAAATAACCAATATTCCAACTCTCTTTGGTCTCCCAGTCTGTTTAAAACTTTCTTAAATCAATTTTTTTTAATTTGCTTTTTGCCAATTGTATATTATTTTAAACGCTTAAGTCTCTATTTAAAATTCCTTAAATCCAAAGCAGAAGGTAAAACTCACCAGGTGTCAAATTAAGCTTGCCATTTTGAAGGTATCTAAGATCCATAAAGTAGTTTAAATTGAACATTTCCAAACCTGATTAGAACCTTCGTTTAGCTGGCTTAGCATCCTTATTAAAGGCTCCGTCACTGCTGAGAGCAAAGATGTCGTCTCCCTCAGTTCCTGGTGCTCAAACCTGCAGGAGACTGCTATTTTATGGTCCCCCCGCAAGGAGCTGCCATTCAGAGCGCTCATGGGTGATCTCCCGGTCTCTCCCTTCTCCAGAGAGATTCCAAAGGACTGGTCTACACTCCGGTCCTTCGTTCTTCACAGTGGTCATCATCTCCACTGTTCAGAGATGTCTTCAGTCAGTCATGACTCACCCAGAATCCTCCAAAAAGCCATTCCTTAACATCTGGGATATCACTTTTCCAATTTCTCAACATAATTCTTTTAGCCATCCCTCATGCACGATACAACCATAATTCCTGATAGATTCCAAAGCTTTGATCTATAATTCAATATCACATTAACATCTTTAACATTTAAAGATTTCCTCCTTTATCTACTTATATAATTAAAATGCCATACCATAAAAGTGCCAAATAATTGCAGGACCATATCATATGGTCTATGAACTCTCAATGTTTTACATCTCCAACAAAGAAAATCTGATGTTCATCCTTTCAAGTACATTCTTTGAGGAATCCAATACCCTCTAAATACAATTTTTGATGTATCAACTTTCATCTCAATTCTGTTGATACCATTTTAATGTTTTTAAGAATTTGAAGTATTGATCAGGCACTATAGGAGATTCCACTTCTTTAGTTCCTATTTGGAATATCCCATAAATACCTACCCTAAAAATATTTTTGAGGTTTTGATAGAGACGTGTTATGGGTTTTACTTTCTGTTATGGATTCCATCAAATAAGAAAGCGTTGCGACCAAAGCATTTGGCCCATACTGAGCCATTAAAACATGCTTAACTTGAAAATACTGCCACTGTTGTGAATTAGGAAGCCCAAATTCAATTTGAAGTCAGGAAAAATCCTTAAAACAATCGTTACATAATAATAGCTGATAAAATATAAGCCCAGTGGTATTTTGCAAATCAGATAAATTAAAACCACCTTGGTAATGTAATCTCAGTTTAGCTAAGGAAAACTTTGGGGGTCCACTATCCCAAATAAATATCCTAAGTAACCTATCAATCTGAAGGAAATATGTATTTGTTATTAACTTACAGACACCTGTAAGGACCTAAATCAAGTGAGGAACAATATTCCTTTTTCCGGGATTAATTTTACCCAGCAAGCTTAAGAGATTTCTAACCCATCTATCTACATCCAATTCAATCTTTTCTAAAAGTTTTATCATATTTATTTCCGCATATTGAGAAATATTTTGGGGTGTATAAAGTCCCAAATATTTTTAATACAATCAGTGGAGATCACAATACCCAACTCTTTACAGAACTGTGTTGATATGTTAGAATCCAAGGGAAATGAGCAAGATTTACAGGGAAGGGGAAATCAGTGGCATTCCAGTTTTGACCAGCCCAGTCATTGGTTGTTGAGATGCTTGGCTCTGAGGACAGAAGGTGGGGAGGGAAGTCAAGCTGCCTTGACGTGAGTAGAGCACTGGGGCCTTCTAACACAGGGGTGGGAAGTGTCCACTTTGACTTACTCCCAATTTAATCCCATCTCCACCAATAAATTGCAAACACCGAGGACCATGTTTCTTGATGGTCCTAGGACCCCTGGGGGTCCTCCAAGTCCCTTTCAGGGGTCTGCAAAATCAGAATTATTTGCCAGCTTATGTTGAAAAATAGTACAATATTAAAATCCCACCAAACAATCGTGAGAAGTGGTAGCAACAGCAAATGTGTATATTTTAATTTTAAATACAGTATGGCAGTGTTTCTCAACCTTGGCAATTTGAAGATGGGTGGACTTCAGCTTCCAGAATTCCCCAGCCAGCATGCTGGGGAATTCTGGGGGTTGAAGTCCACCCACCTTCAAGTTGCCAAGGTTGAGAATCACTGCAGCATGGTAAATATTGATCAATATAACCCATACAAACAAAGGTTCTTTCGGGGTTGTCCATAAAAGCGGGAAGGGGTCCTGAGAGAAAAAAGTTTAAGAAACACTGATCCGGGAGAAGCCGATGTGAGAATATTACGGGGTCTGGGCTCCTAGGTCTTTCTCAGCAATTCCATCTGCACGGAGAGCAAATGAGGATTCTCCTTCCAGCCCCAAGGCTGTGGGGACTTCTGATACCCCAGATGTCACGGAACTACAACCTCCAGTATCCACCTCTATGGCGATGCTGGGAGTGGGGCTCGGGAATGCTGTAGTTGAGCAACCTCTGGACTGTCCCGGGGTCTCCATCCAAACGAAAAGCTGAAGATCTTGGGAATCGGGGCAAATCTTATCGCCGCGGAAGGTACAAGCACGGCTAAATTTTTGCTTTCTCCCGGTAAGTTGGCAACTCGCGGCTCCAAGAACGAGGCCCCCGGAATTCAGCTGAATTCCTGCAATGGGAGCCCCGTTGACGTAACCCGTCCGGGAGCCGATTTTCCTTTTACTGGGAGGGCGGAGCGAAGGGCGCGAAGCCGGCCGCCGGGTTAAGCCAAGTCCTCCTTTAAGGCGCGGCTTTCTTCGCGTCCCGGCCTCTCCATTGGCTCCCGCGGGCTCCCTCCCCGAGGCCGCTGGTGGAGGCGCGGCTATCTGCAGCCAGGGTGGAGCCGTTGGGGGCGCCGCCGGCCGACTCGGTGGGTACGCCGCCGGCCACCAGCGCGGGCTTCCCCCGGAGCCGATAAAAGCCGCGCTGCGGCCGCATGGCCGGGCTCTTTCCCTCGGAAGCTGCAACTCTCCTGTCTTTTCCCTGCCCGCGCTCGGGCCCGGCCCGGCCTCCGCGCTTCCCTCGCACGCCTAAGCTGATGCGCCCCGCTGGTGCGCTTTTACGCACAGCTGGGGCCAGCGGGCTCCAGGCCCCGGCGTTGTGAGCCGCCTCCCGCTCCTCGCCTCCCGGCACGATGGACGAGCCCCAGCCCCTGCCTATTCGCGCCCGGCTGAGTTACTCGGTGGGCCATTTCCTCAACGACCTGTGCGCCTCGATGTGGTTCACCTACTTGCTGGTCTACTTCCACTCGGTGCTGGGCTACAGCACCCGGCACGCGGGGGCGCTCCTGCTGGCGGGGCAGGTGGCCGACGGCATCTGCACACCCCTGGTGGGCTACGAGGCGGACCAGGCCGGCGGGTGCGCGCGCTACGGGCGGCGGAAATCGTGGCACCTGGCTGGTAAGTCGGGCTGAAAAATAAGAGTGGAGAGGCGTTGCCCCAGCTGGACGCAGGCGGGATGCGGTGACCGGAACGAAGGGGTGGCGCTAGGTGGGAGCACCGTAAGCTGTACGGAGAAACAGGAACGAGGAGAGGAGCCTAGATGGGCGCAGTAGCTTCGGTGGATCAGGCCAGGAGATATTTGATTTCCAGCATTGATTACGCCTAGCGTGACACCCACGAGTAGGGCATTAAAGTAACAACCCTGTCCCAGTTTTATCTCCCTGTCCGGCATGTGCTGTTTGATGATACGCTTCTTTTGAGGGCAGCTGTTTAATTTCGCTTAGCCTAGTTAATAGCACTCTGAATCTCTCAAAAGAAGTGGAGCGTCATGCTGATGATGCTGGAGATTCATGTATTTCAACACTGGGACCAGTTAGATGCTGCTTGGGAGCAAGTGAGGTTTGCGACACTTCTCACTATTCATCCCTAGCCTGTTTTTCTTGTAATTTTAATTCTGAATAGGAACATTCTGCTTGATTATTACAAGTGGGAATTCAGACATATGGGAAGAAATAGGAGCAATTCAGAATACTAGACTTTACCTCTGGGCAGTTGGTCGCATGAAGACCGTCAAGATGTCTCCAGTTGCTTGGCTCCCCTGTATCCGTTGTGGATGATGTACTGCTCCCTAACACGAAGGCTCCACTTCGATAATGCATCCATTAGCCTTTAATAGGTTATTATTGAAGTGCAAAGTCATGCTTTTCACCATGACACGCAATTTATTTCATTGCCATGTTGGGTTGCCACTTGGCTAAAAGATTTTTAAAAAGCATACTAGGGCTGAATTATTGATGCCAGCTAAGTGCAGCCTTCATGTTCAGGTACAGTCTACCTTTGATTGCGACTTGCTGGGGGAGGGCACCAGTAGAGGAAGGCTGTTGCTGTTGACTTTTGCTCACGTGCTTTGCAGGGTGTCAGCTGATCTCTGAGTTCATGGAAGCTCCTCTAAATGATCTCTTATCTGTTATGGCAGAGCTCTCTCCTAATGTAGAGATAACCACAGCTTAGCTTCCTTCTGGACTGTTGAGCATTTAGCTTGGGGTTTTTGAGATCACAGTCGGAACCTTCTGGAGGCTATCAGATTATCTGTTTCTTCTCATCTGTCTGATCTTCTGCCAAGCACGTGCGCAGCTGGTACTAATGCCCATCCTCTTTATGTATTTAAATGATTTATATGGCTGCCCATCTCACAGCAGTGACTCTGACCTAAAGAGTTAAAACCAGCAGTCCAAATAATAGACACCCGAGGTTGCCAACAAAACAGGTTCCAAGCTTACAATAAAAACATCAGTTGGCAGAGCTCACGTTCAGCTCCCAGCCCAAATGCTTGGAGGAATAGCCAAGTCTTCAGTGCCTTGCAAAAGGCTAACAGGGTGGAAGGCATCCAGATCTCTGGGGGGATGTTGCTCCACAGGGCAAGTACTGCAACAGAGAAGGTATGACACCCGGTTCCAACAAGATGCCTTTGTTTAATGGAAGGGATTCAGAGCACGGCCTCTCTGCTAGAACTGATGAGACGAGCACAGACAATGGGGGACAAGCGTGGTTTTATGACAGGGGCTTCCATTAATGAATAGTGCTTTGTCCTGAAGAAGTCTCGCTTTTGTCAAATGTGAGCCTATAGTCAGTGAGCTTTAATAGAGTGGCTCCAAGCTTGCAAAGTATAGAAATGTTATGTTCCCCCGCCATTGCTTTTCCAAAGTTGGAAATCCCCAATAGTAACAGCAATACATCTTGACCAAGGTGTGGTTCATAGCAAAGCAAAAATCAACACAAGAATTACAAACCAGTCCCATAAAATGTGCTCAGAACTCAGTAAATGCAAATGTTAATACTAAACAGCCAACATGACTCAGTATTTAAAACAATGCTCTGGAATAGGACTCAGTGCATATACATCCAAAGTCATTTAAAATAGGTGTTAATCTGGAATTATCAGCTAAATAAGAGTAGAGTAGAACAGAGTCTACACTAATGTCCTCATCAGATAATAAGGACCTACCTCTGATAGTTTCTGATTACGTGCCATCAAGTTGGAGTCAACCCCTAGTGAACCCGTAGAGGGATTCTCTGTCTTAGCAACTCTGAACATTGCACTGAATATTGGCTCTTCCGCTCATGGGATTCTCAGAGATTATAATTTGAGTAGAATCTTGATGTGGAATTTTTTCCAGGCAGAGCCCAAATGCTGGAATTAAAACAATCTTTTTAAAAACAGCCTCCTGGGTTGGTGAGAAGAAACTCATGGTATGCCCAGAGGGGCCAAAATGTTTACATTGCAAAGCAGACTTAATTCTTAATTATTTTGCCTTAATTGGCCTCTTTGTTATTTTGCCTTTGTAACAGTGCAGAGAGCATTGCTGTTGCCTTGGAGGAATGCCCTGTTTAGTTAAATAGAAAAGGAATTATGTTTGGCATCAAGACTAAGTCCATTGCATGTTTCATTCTTGGTGAAGCAGATGCCGTCCTGTGCCTTCTGCAACCCGCATTAGAAAATACTTTGCATGGATAGAACGTGCTTGAACTGGAAATGTGTATACATTGCTATTTTAACGTGTGGTTAATATGAGGATTCCTCATATTCCCCTGGCAGCTTTATAAAGAAGGGCCATTGTTCTTCTTTTCTTAGATGTGAGGTGAGAGGTTGGACCAGTGTTTCTCAACCTTGGCAACTGTGAATGTGATATGTGAATTCTGGGAGTTGAAGTCCACATATCTTAAAGTTGCCAAGGTTGAAAAACACTGGGTTGGACAATACACTAGAAGAACATCTGGTCCTGGATCTCAGTAAACGCATGACTGAGAGGGACATTTTTGACCCTTGTCTCCTGTTTCTCGTTTCTGTTTCCCTTCAGTCACATGCTAGATACTCCTGTGTGATTCACAAAACAAGCATGATGAATTTATTTTGAGGGGTTTTTTTCCAGTGAGTCAGCAAAGCAAAGATTTGGCAAAGATTTCTTTCCTTTTGCTGGGATGAGTTGTCCTCTTTTTGCTCTGCTCATTCCCAAATCCCACCCAGAGCAGCATAAACAGGATTTTGCCAGAGTGAGCGAAGGAATCTCATTTTCCCTCCTGGGGGGTTATTTCCTCCCATCGTCCTTACACAGAATTCAGAATCGTGGGTCTCATCCAACAACGTTGTGAGGTAGGCTAATCCGAGAGACTGGTTCAGTAATCTTGGAGGCTAGTAGAGAATTGGAACTCAGTTCTTGCAGGGCCAACTCTAACACGTCTGCTGACTGATGGGTGCGCAGATGCTGCCTTGAAGGTTTGCCCCATGAGAACATACCAATTTTTTAAATCATGAGTTATAAGTGTTTTCAAATTTGGGTCTCAGAAAGAGAAAGGTAATTCCCCAGTTATGCTGCATTGAATCTGGTTACAGTAAATGCAACCTGATTGTAAAAGGCTCTTGGCAACTGCACGTATGTTTGATCCAGCAAGGTTGCTTGCTATATTTTTGCAGGATTCTTTGAGAAAGGGTGTAGCCAGAAAAAGCAGCCTCTCTTGGATGATGCAATTGCATTAAGGTGCAATTGACAACTCAGCAAGAAATCAAAACCCTGTTTCTTCTCTTTGGAGGCTTACAGGCGCCTCTCTGAATGAGTTACTGCTGTGAGTTGGCCTCTTTTAGGAATGATCGGGTTAGTGGCTGTTCACACCGAAATACAAACGATGGACAGCTTGAGAACGGCAAATGCTTAAATTCTACCTGCATTTAAACTGGGGAGTAAATGATGCTGAGTAAATGATGTGTGTTTACTGTAGAGTAAACCTATATAAGAATACATTTTAGCTTTCAAGCACAGAAATGGAAACCTTTTCTGCAGTAGATTTACAGTAGGTTTACCAGCTTGCAAGTTTTGAATAGCAATGGTTGGCACCTTTTGTGGCTGTTGAGTATATTTTATTATAAATTATTGGATTATTGGGGGACTTTCCTATAGAGTTGTCCTATATAAGGGTTGTCCTATAGAGGAGAGTGCCCAGAGGGCAAGACCAGAACCGTTGGGCTTAAAACCACAAGAAAAGGGGATCAGGAGGAACCTTTTAACTGTATGAGCTTGTTAGTCAATGAAATAGGCTGCTCCATCACATGACAAGTTGTCCTTAAGTAAAGATGCTCCTGTGCAGTGTTTCTCAACCTTGACACCTTTAAGACGTGTGGACTGCAACTCCCAGAATTCAAGCCTGGCTGGGGAATTCTGGGAGTTGAAGTCCATACATCTTAAAGGTGCCAAGGTTGAGAAACACTGCGCTAATGGATCCTGGAGTTGGACTATATGGTTTTGGAGGTCCCTTCCAACCCTATGGGTTCTTTTCGGTCTTTTTCCTAAATGCGTACTAAAGAGTGGCCTTCTGGGAAATTGAGAATCACCCCATTTTATGGATACTTCCCTCTGATCCCCCCCTTTTTTTTGGTAAGATGCTTTCAGTGATATCCCTCAGAAAAAAGAGATTTGGATGGCAATATTCACACTTTCCTTGCTTGAGGCCTTCCAAATGGTTGGGTTTCAATTTCCAAAATTCTCATCCACTGAGAATTCTGGGAGTTGATGACCAACTCATGTGAAGGTTCCCTTTTGGGGAAGGAAGTGTCGCATCTCGAATTATTCATAGGCGCTTGTCAAAAGGCTGCTTAGAACTTGTTGGAAAGCTATTTAGAGCAGAACGTTTAAAAAGAAAACTTAAATTCTCATGTTCCAAGGAGATGAGAGAATTCTCAGGCAGATCAATTGGGAAATGGAGCCGTATTAACCGAATATAAAATGCACCAGCCCTTGATGTTCATTTCCTCTGTAATTTTATCAGCATTGCAGCTTCCTTCATTTAGTCATCTGTCTCCAAAGCTGTTTATGCAAGCATCAGGCCGTCTATGCCCCCATATTCAGTTCTGCTTTCTTGTTCAGTAAAATTGCTCAGATGTCGTTGAGATTTATGGCGCAAAAAAA